AAGGAAGGTTGGGCAATCCTACTTCCGTAGTGATATTGCCTCGGAAACCCAAGGAGGGGTCGCTATGAGTCGGGGCCGACTCGACGGCACATAACAACAACATGGGCAAATTTGAGCAAATTCATTTCCCATAGAGCAGTTCATACACATTTTGTTTATGACATTGACTGCAGTTCCCCACAATGTAACAGCTCCCCTCCCACTTCCTCCCCATATTACCTCTTCCCTCTGTCCTTCTGTCCCATGCACTCCTGGCCCCCAAGTTGTCTCCTTTTGCAAACACTGCCCTCTGTTCTCCTGTGATTGATTGTTCCAAGGAGTATATCTACTTGATGTAAATGTTCACCCTATATGCCTATCTTTCATTCGGCTGGAAACCACAGGAGTGAGTTCATGGCATAGTATTTTAATAAATGATACTCATTTTTTTTTTCACAATTTGTTGGCTATGCCTATTAATTCATTTTTTCACACATAGCTAATGTTTTTGAATATATTTATGTCCACCATAAATATATTCTTGTTGATGTATTTTTTAAATCAAGTTTTAAAGATTCTAGCAAAGAAAGAATACTAAATATTTTAATCTGATTAAAAAATGAGGCACAGTTAAGAAACTCAGTTATAGGCTAGGTTAAGAAACGTTAAGACATACCAGTCACAGTAATGATATGCTGTACTCTCTAAACAAAATTAAATGAGCAATAATGAGATATATATGTAAGAAACTAATGTGGATTTGAATTCACCCAAAACCGTCTATAAGAAGATAGTTCATGGAGATCATTTGAACAGGAACTTCATTTCCAGAGGTTCAGGTGAGGAGGCTCTTTTCCCCTCTCTCAGGTCTAGTTAATCTTTATGAGAAGAGCTTTCTCACCTGCTCCCTAAACACCTGCTTCACTTGTTTGTTCCTCAGAGTGTAGATGAAGGGATTGAGCATGGGCGTCACCACAGTGTTGAGCAGGGCCACCACCTTGCTCCTGTCCTCCCCCTGTCTGCCCTTACCCGACCGGACATACATGAAAATACAGCTTCCATAGAAGAGAGACACGACAATGATGTGGGAGGAGCAGGTTGAGAAGGCTTTCTGCCTCTCTTTGGCTGAGGGGATGCGCAGGATGGTATAGAGGATGTGGCTATAGCAGGTGGCTGTCATGGACAGAGTGCCCAGTAAGCTGAAGTTGACCACAATAAAGCAAAGAAGCTCTATCAGACTTGTGTCTGCACATATGAGTTCCAGGAGTGGAAAGTTGTCACAGAAGAAGTGATTAATGATATTGGGACCACAGAATGGCTGCTGAAATATGATTGAACTTGGGACAATGATGAGAAGGAATCCTGCCATCCATGAACAAAGGACTAACTGGACACAGACCCTTTTGCTCATGATGTTAGCATAACGTAAAGGGTTACAGATAGCCACATACCTGTCAAAAGACATCACTGCCAGTAGAAGGAACTCTGTGATGCCAAGGAAGAAATAAAAGAAAAACTGAAGAAAACAACCCATAAGGGAGATAGCCTTATATCCTGTCAGAATATTGGTCAGCATTTTGGGGAAGATGACAGATGTGAACCAGATCTCCAGGATAGCAAAGTTGTGGAGGAAATAGTACATCGCAGTGTGGAGGCGTCTGTCTATGAGGGTGATGACCACGATGAGGAGGTTCCCCAGCAGAATGAGGAAGTAGGTCAAGAGGAACCCCAGAAAGATGAGCATCTGCAGCTCACAGGCATCTGAGAGCCCTAGTAGGACAAACTCAGTGACAGTGGTGCTGTTCCCATGGCTCCTCTGACCTCTGCTGAGGAGGGCCAACCAGAGGTGTTCAACATCAGGAATTGTGATGCTCTGAGCATCCGAGGAAAGCCTGGAACTGAAAGGTAAAAGGAGTGAGTGTTACTGTTTGAGATGAAGGATTCCTTTATTCCTCTGGGCTACAAGCCTCTCTCTGTCTCTCCCCTCAGGCTTGTTCATATCTCTCATCTACTCAGCAACTAATCAAATGATTTGACCCAATTTAGGATTTGTGAGATGCTTGAAATTTTGATGAAGTTTTGACCTTACTAATTCTTTTTCCATTTTCCTTATTTTTGTTAGGAAGCTCTGTTAAATCCCTTCCATTTTTTTAATTTTGATCAGATGATATATTTCCCTATATTCCTCCAAATGCTGCAAACAGTCTCTCCATTAAAGTATTTCCCTCCCCAAATCCCATACTCAATGGGTCACAGACCTTTATTGAAAGCATTGATGGAATGCTTACTCTAGCGGTTGTTAAAGAGTGCATTTTAGTCAGAGAGATTGTCATTGCACCTGCGCTCCATCACTTAGTATCTTATTTAGGACTGGTTATCTAAATCCACCAAGCCATTATTTCCTCAATGGGAGTAATAACAATACCTATGTAAATGGACTTTCCTAGGACTTAAATAAATAATGCATGTCCTTCACTTAGCATAAGCCTGGTTTTAGAATCAGAAGTCACATAATGTTAGCTATTTTAAATTCTTGTTTGTGGCTGAAAATTTAGTAGGATAGTAAGAGTAAATAAAATTGAAATAGTGCGGCTTTGGGAAATATGTTCTGAAAGTTTTACATTTATAAAAATATTAGCTTATTACTGGTGGAACCTCTGAGACTATGGCCCCTAGCTGCCTTTCAGGTCTGGAATTGAACCCACACCTGTGGCTTCCAGCCAAACAAAAGATAGGCATATGAGGTGAACATTTACACTAGGTAGATACACTCCTTGGAGAGAACAATCATGGAAGAATAGAAGGGCTGTGTTTGCACAGGGAGACAGCTCAGGAGGCAGAAGTACATGGAGGGAAGGATACAAGGAAGAGGTAACGGTGGGGAAGAAGTGGGAAGGGAGCTGTTGTATTGTGGGAAATTGTAGTCAACGTCATGTGAACTGCTGTGTGGAAAGTGAATTTGCTCTGTAAACTTTCACACAAATCACAATAAAAAAATATTAGCTCATTATAAAAAGTATAGAAAATATCAAGGAACAGAATAAAAGAATCACCTGTAGTACCACAGAGACAGCTGCTTTAATATATATATATTTAAAAAATTGTGATTTGGGTAAAAGTTTACAGAGCAAATTGGTTTGGGGTGAAAGTGTACAGTGCAAATTGGTTTTCCATCCAACAATTCATACACATTTTTGTTTTGTGACATTGATTGTAATCCCCACAATGTAACAGTATTTTCCCAACTTCCTCCCTATGTTTACCATTTTCTCTCATTCTTCTTTCCTATCCCTTCCTGCCTGCTGAGCTTCATCCCTGGACAAATGATGTCCTTTAAATCATATGGTTGATTGTTCTAATGAGTGTGTGCCTCCCTGGTGGTTCACTTTATAGGCCTGTCCTTTGTCTGAAAGTTGAGCCATAGGGATGAGTTCAGTTCCAGGCTTGAAGAATGTCTAATGGCCATAGTCACAGGGGTTCCACTAGTCTCTATCAGACCACTAAGCCTTTTTTTTTTTTTTTTTTTTACTGATTTGGAGTTCTGTTCCATATTTTTCTCCCACTCTATCTAGGACTTTCTATTGTGATCTCTTTCAGAGTGGTCAGGAATGGTAGCTGGGCACCACCTAGTTCTGGTCTCATGATTGTGGAGGCTGGGGTTCACATGGTCCATTAGTCCACTGGACTAATTTTTTCCGTGTGCCTTTGATTTTCTTCACTCTTCTTTGCTCTGGATGGGGAGAAACCAATATTTGTACCTTAGGTGGCCACTCACAAGCTTTTAAGACCACAGTCGCTGCTTACCAAAGTAGGATGTAGACCATTGTCTTTGTGGACTATGTAATGCCAATTGACCTTAGTGTTCCCTGAGACTGTGATCTTGAGCCCCCAGGCCTAGAGACTCATTCCTTCAAGGTGCTTGGTTATGGCTAAGAAGTTTTATAATTTTGTATCCTGTATGCCTATATAGTTGCAGCACACATAAATACTGTGTAGAAATATCCTCTGTCAAATCTATGTGTATTTGCAGGTGTGGTCCCATTCACCTTCCCACCCACGTTCAGCTTGAGTGTCTATCTATGCTTTTAACATTTTAATGTATTTCTGTTTTATTTTTTCTATTCTTATTTGCTGTTTACTTATTGGTTTCTATAATTATGTTCCTAGAATATGCACTTTGCACCCTTCCCCCATATACTACTACAACAAATTTTCTCATGTTATTACAATTTTTAAAATATATCATTGTTGTTGTTGTTGTTATTTGCCATCGAGTCGGCCCCAACTCATAGCGACCCCTCCTTGGGTTTCTGAGGCAGTATCACTACGGAAGTAGGAATGCCCAACCTTCCTTCCGAGGAGTGGCTGGTGGGTTTGAACCGCCAGCCTTCTGGTTAGCAGTCAAGTGCCTTAGCCACTATGCTACCAGAGCTCCTAGGGTGGCCCAAATAAGGCTCAAAAGCAAAAATAAACCACATTTATCATTCTTAACTTAATTCTTACTCATGATTTCTCAACTAATTATTTTGCCCATAACAAAATCTACTTTCACTGTCTTTTATTCGTACTGTTTCCTCCAGTATGGGGGTCTTCTGGTACACTTTCCGCTTAACTTAGCCATTCTCTATCAGGTACATATTCTGAGGTAAACGGGCTCAAAATACATGGAAATGCTATTGCTGCTTCAAGATTACCTGTATCTTTGATGTTTTAACTAGCACAGTGGAACCTGTGAGAGCCGGAAGTCAACAGGACTGCCTTGTTCTTCTGTTTCTTGCAAAATTTCCACCTTTGACAGGGTGCAGTTTTAGCACTTTTCTATTGCTCTGAATTAGTGGAAAAATTTGAGTTTTTCTTCTCTGACAGGTTTCTGCCCTACAAAGATTCTGGGTTTCACTGTATTTGGATTAATAAACAGGAAAGAAGAAATATATGAGAGAAAAGCACAACTCTCACAAATAAAAAAAGAAAAATCCAAGTAATATCTGAGTAAATAAAAACTTCTTAGTAAGAGTTTGGTATTCAAGGCTATTGATTATCTATTCCAAAATGGTATTTTCAGGTTCATCTCTTATCATATCCTGCCACAAACCCTGGACTCTAGGTACATAGACTCTTTGCAATGCTTTGATTTCCTAGCCATTTTCATGTACCTATGCTTTTGTACGGGAGCTCTGGTAGCGTAGTGCCTAAGGCACTTGACTGCTAACCAGAAGCTGGCGGTTCAAACCCACCAGCCACTCCTCAGAAGGAAGATGGGGCAATCTACTTCCATAGT